CTGTCACCCAGTCCTATGTCACCCTGTCCTCTGTCACCCTGTCCTCTGTCCCCTGTCACCCAGTCCTTTGTCACCCAGTCCTCAGTCCCCTCTGTCCCCTGTCACCGTCACCTGTCCTCTGTCACCCTGTCCTCTGTCCCTTTTCCTTCGTCAATCACACACACTAGTGTGGTTTGTGTGAGTTCATGTAAACCACAGAGAATCAATGTGCCACTGCTGAAGAGAGAGAGACAGACAGAGAGAGAGACAGAGAGAGAGACAGTAAGACAGACAGACAGACAGACAGGGAGAGACAGACAGAGAGAGAGAGACATAGAGAGAGTGACACAGAGAGAAAGACAGACAGACAGGGAGAGACAGAGAGAGAGAGAGTGAGATGGGGAGAGAGACAGAGACATAGAGTGGGAAAGAGAGACAGGGAGAGACAGAGAGAGAGAGAGAGACAGACAGATTGATGAAGGTGGAGCAGGGGGACAAACTGCAGCAGCAGTGTCGTGGACTCGTCGTCCAGAATCACAATTAAGCTCCACTCGGGACAGAATACTAATGAGGATGCAGGACACGCCTCCTCCTGCTCTCTTTTATTCTCTCTCTTCACTCCCTCCATCTTATCTCCATCTTCTTTCCTCCTGTATTCCCTTCCTCCTTCCCTCCTCTAACCGTCCTCCCCTCCCTTCTCACACTTTCCCGTCTGCCTCTCTTCCCCCTCCTCTTCCTCCCTCCACACTCTCTCTCTCTCTCTGTCCAGCAGTCATTGATTAAATGGAAGCTTGTCGGGCAGTAGAGGATCAGTTGTGTCTCTGTGCAAGAACGACTCAGTCTATTAACGAAGATCCTACAGTTAACAACCATTTTTAAAGCTCTCATGAAAAAACAGCAGCCTGAAGCCTTAAAGTGGAACTGTGTGTGTGTGTGTGTGTGTGTGTGTGTGTGTGTGTGTGTGTGTGTGTGTGTGTGTCACTATTGATGACCTTGTCAATTATCAACCCATGACTGTCACAACACAACCAATATTTCTACAGAACTCCAGATGTGACTGTTGACCTCCAGATGTTTACATGTATCTTTAAGTCCTACAGGTTTTTAAATGTCCCACACACTTTTCTTACTGACACAAACAGAACTTTTTGTAGAACCATGTATAATTGTTGCATTTACATGTTTTGCTCAGTGTCGTTTCTCTTGTTGTCATGACAGAGGTGACTCTTTGTTTTACCAGGTGTGGCTGATCTGAAATCAGCTGATCCGTGAGGACATGGAACTTTGAATTGTGTTTTAGCTAAACACCATCTCAAGTACATCAGTAAATAAGTGATCTTATAGGAGCACAAGTCCCAGTCTCTTTCTTTCATTCTCTTATTTCCTTTCATCCCACCATCTCTCCCTCCCTCTCCACTGTCATGCCTCTTTTCTCATCTCTTTTCTCTCCCTGTTGTCATACTTTTGTCTTTTCTCGGCCCCCCTCTTCTTTCCAGCAGCTTTGATTAAAGTCCATCAAATGACTGGTCTCCGCTGCTGGTTTTCGTGCGACTGTCGTCCCTTGATGAGTGTTTTTATGAGACTAATAAAGGATTCATGTCAGTGGAGGCTGTTTAATTCATAAGATGAAACATGGCGGAGAATTGGATGTGTTTCATTTATCTCACTGCTACAGCTCAGTCTGCAGGCCAAGCTAATGAGTCTCACACTCACACACAGTAACAAGTGTGCAGCATTATTCACACACCATAAGCTATATAATATATACACATATTGACCTAAAGCACATACATGACACACACTGTGACCAGTTTGGACTCACAGTGAAATAGTACACACAGTACTGCAACACATGAATGTTTTTTGCAGGAACACTAATACAACAGTTACATATGTTACTGCTGTTGTTACTACTGTCTGCTACTAATACGACTCCAAATATGATTTTACTTGTTTTTTAGTATTTTAATTATTATTCTTTATCATCTGTCGCACATGAGATCTGTGTGCATACAATTCAGGTAAAGAACCTGAAGGCAGCATATTATTACTACTGCTAAAGCTAACACTACCAAAGGTAATACTTAAGGTACTGGTGCTACTGCTGTCAATTTGCTGAGGACACGTTCTACTTTGACACACAGCTCCCCACCACTAACACTGCTACTACTAATACCAGTAATACTGCATATATCTGCACATATTCTGCATTACATCAGTATAACACACACAGTTTTACATATTGACTTGTGTTCTGAGCTGGTGGAACATGTTATAAGACCTGATATCACAGAGTTGTATGACCTCACCACTGTCAACAAGCGTGACGATCACCAGTGTGGGGTTAGGGTTGTATGGGTTAGCTGGGTTAAAGTTAGTTGGGTAAGGGTTGGTTGGTTGGTTGGGTTAGGGTTAAGGTTGGTTGGATTAGCTAGGTTAAGGTAAGTTGGGTTAGGGTTGGTTGGGTTAGCTGGGTTAAAGTTAGTTGGGTTAGGGTTGGTTGGGTTAGGGTTAGCTGAGTTAAAGTTAGTTGGGTTAG